CTTGTGGAAGCCTTGGGACCTACTTTTCCAGCACTGGCTGCTGGCCTTACCTGGCCAAGCTGTCCTGGGAGTCCCCTTACCCTCACTTGCAGGGGGTCCTCTGGCCTCTTTCTGCTGGATCTTTCTGTATCCTGTGTCTTCCTCTCTGCTGGTTTACACCTTTGTTTGGTGGAGCACATCCTCCAGTGACTTTCGGAGAGAGGGGTTGTAAGATGTAAAGGTTTTGAGATCTCGATAGTCCAAAAACGTTGTCTCTGGATTGATGGTTTGGCTAGGTTAGAATTCTAATTGAGGAGTCATTTTTCTCTAGAATTTTAAAGGCATTTAACTTCCAGAGTAGCTAATGAAAACTTGGAAACCATCTGACCCCTGATTCTTTGTGTGTGACCTGTTTCTTCCCTCTGGAAACTTGTGGGATCTTCCCTTTGTCCCTGGGTTCTAAAGTCTCAGGGTGACGCATGAGCCACTTTGGCTCAGTGGATAGAGCGTCGGCCTGTGGACTGAAGGGTCCCAGGTTTGATTCTGGGCAAGGGCACATTCCTGGGTTGCAGGCTGGATCCCCAATAGGGGACATGCAGGAGGCAGCCGATCAATGATTCTCTCTCATCATTGATGTTTCTATCTCTCTATCCCTCTTCCTTCCTCTCTAAAATCAATAAAAATATATTTTAAAAATAAATAAATAAATAAAAATAAAAAATAAAGTCTCAGGTTGACATTTTGGGGACTGGGGGGAGCTCTTCTACTTTGCTTGCCTTTGTTGGGCCATGTCAGTCTGGAAGTCCTGTTTTGGGGTTTTTGTTCGTTTGTTGTGGTTTTGTTGTGTGTGGGGTTTTTTTTGTTTTTGTTTTTTTTTTTGCTTTTCTTGAATTATTTCTTTGATGATTTTTTTCCATCATTTCTCTGTCTTTTCCTTCTGGGAGTTACTGTGCTGTTGGGCCTCCTGGATGGCGACTCTCCTTTTATTCTCTCCTTTCTTCCTTGTTGACTGTTTTCTGAACATTCTCTTAGCTTTTTTTATCTTCCAGTTCTTCTCTTATTTTTCTGTTTTTTGCTTTAGTGCATATTTTTGTTAACCCAAAAATAAAAAGGCCTTTTAAAGTGAGAGGCAGCCCTGGCCAATATAGCTCAGTTGGTTAGAGCAGCATCCCGATACACCAAGGTTGTGGTGGGTTCAATTCAGGGCATGTACAACAATCAACCAAGGCCCTGGCAAGTGTAGCTCAGTGTTTTGGGCATTGTCCCATGCACCTAAGGGTTGCGGTTTTGTTCCCTGGTCAGGGCACGTGTCCAGGCTCAATCCCCAGTAAGGGGTGTGTAGGAGGCAGCCAATCAATGATTCTCTCTCATCATTGATGTTTCTATCTCTCCCTTTCCCTTCCTATCTCTATATATATATTTTTAAAAAGAATCAACCAATGAATGCATAAATAAGTGGGGCAGCAAATTAATGTTTCTCCCTTCCTCTCTCTAAAAATCAATAAATAAAAAATTTAAAAATAAATAAAGTGAGAGGCAAAGGATTTATTTGAGATCAAGGAATAGCTATTTGGGAAGCATTGATTTAGGCAGCAGTCCAAGTAATGTTCTGATTTGGAGACAAAAGCAATGGGTATTTATATGCATGAGAAGGGGAAGGGGAACAGTTACATCAATTGAAGGAAGGCATTTTTATTGGTGTGGATAATATAACAGTGATGTTAATGCTTTTATAAGTAAATAATAATATTAAATAATGTTATTGTTTTTAGAGAGAGTGAGAGAGGAGAGAGACATTGATGTGAGAGAGAAACATCCATTGGTTGCCTCCTGATGGGATTGACCCCACAACCTGGGTATGTGCCTTGATCGGGAATCGAACTTGTCACCTTTTAGTGTATGGGACAACGCTCCAACCATTGAGTCACACCGGCCAGGGAAATAGTGATGTTAATTCTAAACAATCTTTTTAATTTTCAGTGCAGTAGTCATAATAACTGCTTTCTTGTTATCTTTGCAAACAGTTCTTTGGGATACAATGTTACTTAAGCCCAGGCCAGATGGTTTATTTTGCCCTGTTTTAACATTTCAAAAATGTAAGGTATAAGATGTGCAAGGGAGTTCCTCTGGCATGGTAGCTCTGGTTCCATTATATAGTGACATTTATTACATATTTTCGGCACTTTAATGTGCAAGTGCTTGCTTTCCCCCCGTAATGTTCTTTTTTTCTAACATCCCATTCTTCTTGTTATTGTTTGTTTTGTTTTAAGAATAGTTTATTGATTTTTATTTATTTATTTATTAATATAAAGGCTTTTAAAAAAATCTTTTATTGATTTCAGAGAGGAAGGGAGAAGGAGAGAGAGATAGAAACATCAATGATGAGGATCATTGATCAGCTGCCTCCTGCACGCCCCCTACTGGAGATTGAGCCAGCAACCCAGGCATGTGCCCTTGACTGGAATCGAACCTGGGACCCTTCAGTCTGCAGGCTGATGCTTTATCCACTGAGCCAAGCTGGCTAGGGCAGTTTATTGATTTTTAGAGAGAGGAAGGGAAGGGAGAAGAGAGAAACATCAGTGTGAGAGCATAACATTGATTGCCTGCCTCTTGCACACTCTCTACGGGGGATTGAGCACACAACCCAGGCATGTGCCCTGACCGGGAATTGAACCAGCAACCGCCTGGTGCATTGCAGGACGCTCCAACAAACAGACGCCGGCCAGAGCTCACATCCCATTCTTATTTCATGGGTATGAGACCTCTCTTACTTGTTCTCCTTTCCTTGGGTGTTTGCTCCCACCAGGTGTGTCCTTTCAGAGGCTTTCTCAAGCTGGTAGGCCTTGGTCATCTATTCTGATTGAGAGCAGTTCTCAGCTAGCCACCAGGAGCACCAGGGGGGTTCCTGAGAGCACCCTTAGGTTGAGATCCCTGAGTCCTTCCTCCTGAGCTGGTCAAATCCCCAGAGAAGAGTCTTGTTCTGTTCAGAGGGAACAATCCTGACTGGTGACATTCAGGGAGCATTAAAAATATAAACTTCAGCCCTGGCTGGATAGAGCGTCGGCCTATGGACTGAAGGGTTCCAGGTTCGATCCCGGTTAAGGGCATGTACCTTGGTTGCCGGCACATCCCCAGTAGGAGGTGTGCAGGAGGCAGTTGATCGATGTTTCTCTCTCATCGATGTTTCTAACTCTATCCCACTCCCTTCCTCTCTGTAAAAAATCAATAAAATATATTTAAAAAATATATATATATAAACTTCAGCCCTAGCTGGTTTGGCTCAGTGGATAGAGCGTCGGCCTATAGACTGAAGGGTCCCGGGTTTGATTCCGGTCAGGGGCACATGCCTGGGTCGCAGGCTCGATCCCTGGTGTGGTACATGCAGGAGGCAGCTGATCAATGTGTTTCTCGCATCACTGATGTTTCTATCTCTCCCTTTCCCTTCCTCTCTGAAATCAATAAAATATACACTTCAGCCCTAGCCCGTTTGGTTCTGTGGATAAAGCATCGGCCCGCAGACCAAAGGGTCCCAAATTCGATTCTGGGCAAGGCACGCGTACTTTGGTTGCAGGCTTGATCCCTGGCCCTGGTTGGGTGCATTCAGGAGGCAACCAATCAATGTGTCTCTCTCACATTGATGTTTCTCTCTGTCTCTCCCCCTCCCTTCCACTCTCTAAAAATCAATGGAAAAATATCCTTGGGGATATATATATATATATATATATATATATATATATATATATATATATATAAACTTTATATATATATAAACTTCAGGCCCTGGCCAGGTAGCTCAGTTGGTTAGAGCATTGTCCCAATGTGTCAAGGTTGCAGGTTCAATCCCTGGTCAGGGCACATACAGGAATCAACCAATGAGTGTCTAAATAAGTGGAACAACAAATCAGTGTTTTTCTCATTCCCTCTCCCTCCCTCCCTCCCTCCCTCCCTCCCTCCCTCCCTCCCTCCCTCCCTCTCTCCCTCTCTCCCTCTCCCTCCCTCCCTCTCTCCCTCTCCCTCCCTCTCTCCCTCCTCCCTCCCTCCCTCCCTCCCTCCCTCCCTCCCTCCCTCCCTCCCTCCAAGTCATATACATTTCATTTTAATTGCCCCATTTTCTGCTTCTACCCACTTGTGTGGTTTACTTCTCTAGGCTCTTGGCAGGGCATACTCCGGGATCCAGCTGGTCTTTAACGAGGCTCCTGCTGTTTGTCCCCCCACTTCTCAAGGCACCAGGTGTTGCCGGCCTGAGCCCATTGGGGCTTTGGGACCTTGTTTCCTTCCTTTCCCCACAGTGCATGGCTGCCCACATCTGCCCAGCGTCCACTTGTTGGGCTCCAAGCAGGGTCAGCCTACCCTTCTCCTGTCCTTTCTGTCACACCAGGTTTAAGGCTTTTAAATATCTCTGTACTCTGTCCCAGGCTCACCCAGGGACTTGACAGTATTCTGTGGGCTCCTTCCCCACCTTGAAGGAGGGAGATGTGGGCTGGGACGCCTGCCTGCCCACCCACCTCCAGGATCACTACATTGTGTGAGCACCTGTCACACACAAGTGACCCTCACGACTGTGTCCAGCTCTAGGCACAGTATGGCCTTCCTGTCAGTGCCTGAAACCCTGCTTTTGCCCCTTGCTCTGCCTGGATTGCACATACTCCTTCTGCCTCTCGTCTTCAGGGATGCCAGGCCCATCACCCTGTCTGGGTCCAAACCCTTGGGGCATGCTGCCTGGACTTGGACCATTTTGAGGACCATGCACCTGACCCTTGCCTGGGGGTCTCCTCACCTCCTGGTCTTCATAAGCAGGCCAGTCTTACATCCCAGGCCTGTCGTTCTTGGTGCCGCTGACCGCCCTGCTGGTTCTGAGCACCATGCTTTCCCTGACCACGGTTGTGGGCCTTTGACCATCTTCTAATACCTGATGGAAGGCCAGTGAGCACTAGACTAGGCTCCGAACTGTGACCTTGGCTGGGCTGTAACGTTGGTGCTGGGCCATTGGGGTCAGGGCTTTAACAGCTGGTTCCCCCCAGGTCCTTCCTCAGATCCCTGTGAAGAGTGGTGGCCCCCATGGGGCAGGGGTCCTCGGTGAGTGGCTGACCCCTCTCCTCGCCCCCACCCTGGGAGGTTCCTATGGGACCTGTTGGCAGCCCCTACTCTTCCAGATGCCCAAATGGGGTGGGAGGGTGGGCAGGTGAGAGGGGCAGGGGCTGCAGGGTGAGAGGCCTGCTGGAGCCATCTACTCCCTCCTACCAGGTGTGCACCTGGAGGGCCCGTTTATCAGCCGGGAGAAGCGGGGTGCACACCCCGAGGCCTACCTGCGCTCTTTTGAGGCCAATGCCTTCCACGATGTTCTGGCCACCTACGGGTCCCTGGACAACGTTCGCATTGTGACGCTGGCTCCTGAGTTGGGCCGTAGCCATGAGGTGATCCGGGCACTGACGGCTCGGGGCATCTGTGTGTCCCTAGGTGAGGGGGTATGTCCCCACCCGAGGGGGAAGGCAGCCTGGGGCTCCTGGGCTGGTGGCAGAATCTGAGTGCAGGTGCCTGTGCAGGGCACTCTGTGGCTGACCTGCAGGTTGCAGAGGAAGCCGTGCAGAGCGGGGCTACCTTCATCACCCACCTCTTCAACGCCATGCTGCCTGTGAGTGCTGCCCCGGCTCCCGGTGGGTGGGCTGGGGGCTCCTGCTGTCGCTCAGCTTCTCCATCCTGGCCCTGCCAGTTCCACCACCGGGACCCTGGCATCGTGGGGCTCCTGACGAGTGACCGGCTGCCCCCCGGGCGCCACATCTTCTACGGAATGATCTCCGATGGCATACACACCAACCCCGCAGCCCTGCGCATTGCCCACCGGGCCCATCCCCAGGGTGAGCGGCTGGGCAGGGTCGGGGAAGGTGGGAGGACATGTGGGGCAGGTCTTGAGGCCTCTTCATCCCCAGGGCTGGTGTTAGTCACCGACGCTGTCCCTGCCCTGGGCTTGGGCAATGGCCGACACACGCTAGGGCAGCAGGAGGTGGAAGTGGATGGGCTGACGGCCTATGTGGCAGGTGAGTGACCATGGTCCCCGCTGGCTGCCACATTAGAAGAGCCCCTCAGCCCCTCTGGTGGGATGCAAGAACCTAGGTGTCCCCAGCCGACCCACACCCCATCCAGTGTGCCTGGTGGCCCCTGCCCTCCACCCCCCAGAGCCTGCCTTCTCTGCTCTCAAGGCACCAAGACACTGAGCGGCAGCATAGCTCCGATGGACGTCTGCATTCGGCATTTCCTGCAGGCCACAGGTCAGCGAGGCTGGTGTGTGTGTGTGTGTGTGTGTGTGTGTGTGTGTGTGTGTGTGTGTATGTTGGGGGTGGAGGTTGCATCTGAGAGAAGCTGGACATCCCTTGTCTGTCATGTCTAGTGGGGTTCCTCAGGGATGGGCATTTGTAAGTTGGTAAGGTCCCACCATAGGGAGGGGAAGAGGAGGACAAGCAAGTAAAGAGCTGGAACCCAGGGTGACAGGCACCCAAACCAGGGCACCCAAGACTTTGCCCCACATGAGAGCAGGGCATTGGTTCGGGGCCTATGGGATTGCAGGACTTAGCAGGTACAGAGCTGTGATGAGGTGGAGGGGGCCAAGACAGCAATCCAGGCTCCAGGGTCGGGCTGTGTGTTCTGGGGGAGGTGGGTCGGGGTTATCTGGCAGAGGCTGTGGTTGGCCAGGCCCCATGGGGCTCTTCGCAGCACCCGGGTAGGGTGTCATCTGGGAGCTGAGGGTCACCAGGGTCCAAGATGCTGTTTAGAGCAGCAAGGAGACAGGCTGGGAGGCAGGAGACAGCTGTGGCCTGGCCTGGGAGTGATGCAGGAGGCGGAGGAAATTGGGTTTGGTTATTTGACTTCTTAGTAGGGACAGAGCACCAAGCCCTAGGTGGCCTCATGGATGCCCAGGGTACTGCTTTCTTGTGGGGGTGCTCTCCCTGGGACCCAGAAGGAGGGTCCCCACAGGGTTGGGATGGGTGAGTGGCTGCGAGGGATGAGACGGGGGGGTCTTGTCGACCTGCTGCAGAGTCCTGGGATATGTCCTCCCATCCCTAGGACTTGGAGCTCCAGGGCTGTGGGGGCGGGGTGAGGATGGTCACCCAGCTGTGTCTCCTGAGCAGGCTGCAGTGTGGAGTCGGCCCTGGAGGCTGCGTCACTGCACCCCGCCCAGCTACTGGGACTGGAGAAGCTCAAGGGAACCCTGGACTTTGGAGCTGATGCAGGTCAGGGTCCAAGGTGGGGTGGCCTGGGCAGCCTGAAGATTCAGGAGTTTTTGGGAGGCCTGGGTCAGGGACAGGGTGGGAAGAAGGGTGGAACCTCCCCAACGTCCAGGCAGCCTCACCCAGCAACTAGCCTCGGGCTGGCCCCACTCCCCCAGCAGGCCAGGCTTCTGACGTCTGAGACTAGATTGGGCAGGGGGCTCCTGGTCCCTTATTCCTGCCTCCCACTGCCAGAGTCTCTGTTCCAGGGCCTCCGTCAGTCTGTGCTGGGCCAGGGCATCCTCTCCTGCACAAGTTGTGTCCCAGGCTTTGGCTTTCCCACCCGCCTTGGGCTGGGGTAGGAGGGGCAGCCCCACCCCTGCCTCCTGCTCACAGTCCACCTTTGACCCAGACTTCGTGATGCTCGACGACTCCCTCCACGTTCAGGCCACGTACATCTCAGGCGAGTTGGTGTGGCAGGCGGAGGAGGCCAGGCAGTGACCCGGGACCACAGCTGGAAAGGACACCCAGCCTCACCCGGACACTGACAATACTGGGCTGCTGAGGAGCTGGTCTCCGAGGAGTGAATGGGAACCCTGCCCCAGGTGAATGACAGCCCTGGAGGCGACTGGCTTGGATAAACCATCTACCCCAAAGGGACTTGCCTGGTCTCTGAGTTTTGCTTCAAAGCAGGCTTCTTGCTGTTTCCACTGTCACTCTGGTGGCCTTCCTGAGGCTGGGGGTTGGGGTTGTGGCTTAGGATTGGGAGTGGATGGACTCCAGCTCAGCCCAGCCTTGCAAGGAGGCGTCACGGGCCTGTTAGAAGGGTGTGTGAGAGGCCTGCAGACTTGCAGGCAGGTGTGTCATATGGAAATGAATGGAGGGGCGGGAGGGGGAAGCCACAGGCTATAGGTTGAAAAGCTGAAAACTGGCAGGAAGAGGCTGGGGGACAGTGAATGGGGACAACTTCAGAAGTTTGCCTGTTGTAGGGCTGAGGGAAAGGGTACATCTTGGAATTTTAAACAGGAGAGCATTGGTCTTAGAGACATTAAGAATATGGGCAAGGAATGTCTTAGTTTGTGCTCTCAAGGGGGCACTACAGAGGTTTGGGAGGTAGGTGTGTGGGTGTCCTGTGGTCTCGCTCTCTGCACATCACCCAGCACTCCTCTCTGACCTTCAGAGGGATCCACACTGGCCTCCGGACCCCAGGTTGCCGAGCTCTGATTTCAGGAGGCAATGGTTGGAGACCCCTGAGCTGACCGTGGCTACTGCTCCCTGGCCTGCCTGACTGGACCAGCCCCCCAAGATCATCCAGGCTCTGAATCTTTTGGGATCTTTTCTGAACAACCCAACTCCCAAGAGGGCTCCAGGAGCCATCCTGTACTCGTGTTTGTACAGCTGTAGGTAACCCTGTCTGGTGTTGGTGGGCAGTTTGTGGTCACCAATGTCCTGTGCCCTACAGGACACGGGGTCCAGCTGGACCCCACCTTCCAAGTCTCCTCTCCCTGGCAAAGGTCCTTGGGAGAGGGCAGATGAGTCGGCTAATAGGTTAGCACCTGAGCAGCGGTTGTCGGCACTTTCTTGGTACTGGGCCTCATTCATGATTATGGGTATTCACTTGCTTCGTTCGCCTGCCAAAAATCCAAAGGGCTGTCCTGTTTGTCATCTGGGGCACTGAGTCCCAGAGCTGGTGGGCTTTGGGCCAGCACTTGGCCTGGCCTAGCCAACCGTGGGAGCCTTCCTTAGACCTGTCCGCTCTCTGGGTGGAGAACCGTGGAGGGACTGGTTGAGATGGTGGCCAGCCAGGTGACACCAGAGATGACAGGAGCCAGCACGGCTGGGAAGAAAGAGCACTCAGGCAAAGGGAACTGCCCCACAATGCACAGGCTTAGTGTAGCCGTGGGCAAACTATGGCCTGCGGGCCGGATCCGGCCCGTTTGAAATGAATAAAACTAAAAAAAAAAAAGACCGTACCCTTTTATGTAATGATGTTTACTTTGAATTTATATTAGTTCACACAAACACTCCATCCATGCTTTAGTTCCGGCCCTCCGGTCCAGTTTAAGAACCCATTGTGGCCCTCGAGTCAAAAAGTTTGCCCACCCCTGGCTTAGTGTGTCGGAGGAACAGAACTAATGGCCACTGGGGCTGGAGCTGGGCCCCGCAGCTGCAGGGAGAGTTCTGATGTTATTTGAAGTGTAGAGGCAGTGGCTGGAGTATCTTTTTTTTTTTTTTTTTTTAATTGTGGTAAAATACATGTAACAATCACCATTTTAAAAAATATATATATTTTAATTGATTTCAGAGAGGAAGGGAGGTGGGGGGAGAGAGAAAGAGAGAAACATCAATGATGAGAGAATCATTGATTGGCTGCCTTCTACATGCCCCCTACTGGGGACTGAGCCTGCAACCGAGATATGTGCCCTTGACTGGAATCGCACCCGGGACCCTTCAGTCCACAGGCCAACGCTCTATCCACTGAGACAAATCAGCTAGGGCATTTTTAAGTATACAGGTTGTTGGCATTAAATACATTCACATTGTTGTGCAATCATCACCACCATCTCCAGAACATTTTCATCACCCCAAACGGAAATTGCACCCATTAAACACTAACCCAAATTGCCCCTCCCCCAGCCCTGGCATCTGCCTGTCCACTTCGTTTCTAAGTCTGAGGCTGCCATTTAAGTTTGCCTTTGAGTTGCTGGGTTTGGTGCTGGGGGTGGTACGGAGACCCTGAGGGGCTGGCTGTGGGTGGCAGTGGGATGAGATGAGACAGGCTTGCCCTACTCTGGGTGTGGAGTGGGAGGCAGGGGAGGCGATGCTAGGTGTGTGCCTGACTCACTGGAGTGGGGGTGACTCACTGAGATGCAGAGGCTGAGGTAGGATCCCTGGGGAGGCACCTGGTGTACTCTCAGGATCTCCCTGGCCTGTTTAGTGTGTGTGAATGGGAAGGCTCGGCCCAATGTGGGTCAGAGCCTGGCCCAGGGACTGGTTTGGCCCAGGCTGCCACCACATCTTTTTTTTTTAATCATATATGAGTGTTTATTCCAATACTGCTGGCAGTATGGGAGAGCAGCAGGTCATCCACAAAAATCTGCTCTGCAGCCTCCCATAAGCCAGCTGCTTGTACAGGATTGGACAAGGATTACATGGGGAAGCAGGGACTACAGGCATGAGGAAGTAGGAGGCTGGGGTGGGACTCCACTGTTTGGGCAAGAAGGCTGTTAATCTTTCCATGCTAATAGGCAGTTCCCGAATGAGAATGGTTCCAAGGTTGACTCCCAGGTCCCAGGGGCGTAGAACTCCCAGCCAGGTCAGAATGTCCTTTCTTTAACCAACACAAGGCAATCATGGTGAACAGAGCATGATTAATATTTCCCATAACCATAGCTAGTCCCAATATTCTATTCTTGCCCCTACCATTTCCCCACTGCTATTCTATCATCTCGTATCTATGAGATTAGTTTTAGATGAAAAGTCTCATCCTGCTGGACTGCATCTGCTTCTGCCCTGAAAGCAGTTCCCAGGGATGGAACACACCACATGCAGGATCTGGAGTATATGTTTTATCAACTGAGAATTGTCAGAAAGATTAAAACAGCACATTCCTTTAAATTCCTCACAACCATGGTTATGCTGCCACAGCAAGTAACCTGTCGCTGCCGGATTCTCTAGAACTGCCTCCCTGACCTGGCTCAGCTCTTGCTTTATCCCAGGGATAGCCCTGGAGGTGGCGTTCAGGGCTTGTACCCTGCTACAAGCCAGCCGGTCACTTCTGCATTAAGGGAGCCTGCCCTTAGCCGCCTAACAAAAGTGGTCAAAGCAATGTATGCAGCAGGCTCCACAGGTGGAGATCGTCATTGCGGTCCAGGGCCATGGGCTTGAGGTCGTCTCTTTTGGTTCAGACCCTGTAATGTTTCTGAGGCATAAAGACAGTCAGTCATCCTAAGGAACAGGGCCCCCGGTGCTGTTGGCAGGAGTTACCCCACATACCAGAAACCAACCAGCCAGCAGCTCAGTATGGCCACTACCATAAAGGAAGGTGAAATTATCAGAACACTCATATTGTAGTTATTAGCTACTGAAAGACAATAACTAGAACAGACATTGCCAGAGGGAACTACGCTAATCTTTAGAGGAAACATCGGTACATCCTTTTCCCAGACAGTGGGTCCCAACATATGAAAGTCCTTGTATATGACTTCCCAAAGTGAATGGCCTAATTCTATATATCAATAGGTGTCCTAACTCCTACTCAGCAAAATGTAAAGGTCAGTTCTCCGTGGGTTCCTCCACTGCCAGCTTCAGAGCAGCTGGAGTGGTGGGTTCCAGCCATTTCTCTGGTTGGCCGCTGTCACATCTGAATACTCCCAGTTGGGAAGAGGGCCTCCCGACTGCCAACTGGGAGACTGCGCCAACCGCACATGGGCCTCAGCGCCAGCGCGGCTCCTTCTGAAGCCTCAGGCTTCACGTCAGGATGACAAGGACACTGCGGGGAAGACGCACTGGGCTGGACGCCGATATGCAGGAAGGTTTTGAGTGGTCCAGGTCCGAGAAGGCGGTTTGGGAGTGGGGGCTGGACTGTATCAACCACCGGGAGAGTTTGATGGTGGCCATGCCCCCAAATAGGGGCTGAGCCTGAGCAGCAGGAATTTCACAGTGAATCTGTAGTGGGCAGTTAGGTGTGAGCGGAATAGGAAGACAAGCCACATGCAGAGGGTCGCCATCACAAAGAGCACCAGGTGCCTAGCAATGGGCAAAGCTACAAGCCCCTGCACAACCACTGCTTTAAGCATTAACCCTTGTAGATGACTTCTAGCCTCAGCGGGGTTTCAGCTCCTCAGAAGCAGCCAGGCCAGGCAGGGCAATGACATGGCTGACATCAGAACCAGCTGCCATGACTAATGCCCCTCTGGGCTGGTGCTGACCAATTAGCGGAGATCTTGACCTTGAGGAGACACACTTGGGAACCAGGTGAGTATTCTATTGAGATTTTCCCCCGAGACTTCCATATAAAAGCCCTCAGGACTGAAGCCCCAGAGCAGCTGCCGGAACTTTTCCTCACCCCCTTCTCCCAGACGTGTTTTCCTTGCCTCTTTTTTCTCCCTCACCCAAGGATATTTTTCCATTGATTTTTAGTGGAAGAGAGAGGGAAAGACAGAGCAAAATATCAATGTGAGAGAAACACATGAATTGGTTGCCTCCTGCATGTGCCCCTGCCAGGGCCCAGGCCAGGGAGGTTTGTGCCCTTGATCAGAATCGAACCTGGGACCTTTTGGCCCACAGGCTGATGCTCTAGCCCAGGGGTCCTCAAACTACGGCCCGCGGGCCACATGCAAATACAAATATTGTATTTGTTCCCGTTTTATTTACTTCAAAATAGGATATGTGCAGTGTGCACAGGAATTTGTTCATAGTTTTTTTAAAAACTATAGTCCGGCCCTCCAACGGTCTGAGGGACAGTGAACTGGCCCCCCGTTTAAACAGTTCGAGGCCCCTGCTCTGGCCCCCGAGCCAGATTGGCTAGGGCTGCCTCTTTCTCCTAAGTTCCAGGGGCTTTTCTTTAGCCCTTGTCACTGGTTTCCTGAACCCATTTCTTCATTGGCTCACTCCTACCTCTGAGACTCTCTAATAAACTTTATCTTACGGTTTTCGTCTTGGCTCTGAATTCTTTCTTAGGCAGAACTCAAGTTCGTGAACCCAAGTCCAGTCTGACTCACGAGGTCTAATTGCTGGTGCCCTTTCTCCACCAAACTCCAGTCCAACCTGCTCCACTGCACCCTGGGCTGAGAGTACCTTAATACTCCCAGGTATCTACAGGGACCACAGGCCCAAGATGGGGTGCAGCGCATCGGAACTCACCGTAGGAGGGGCTTCTTCATGAGGGTGAGTTCTAGAGAGTGAAAATGGAGTGGGCCTCTGTAGAGCCAATCAGGAATCCCAAAGGGCGGCCTGCGCCATGGCAAAGCTGTAGGGGCAAAGCAGTCCTCTGAACCAGCAAAAGGGCGGGCGGACCGGAAGCCAGGAGCCAGCAAGGCAGAGTAGCCCAATGCCCCTCGTGGCACCTGTAGGCCAGGCCAACCTGCTGGGCTCTGCCTCTGCACATCTTCCTGCCCCACAGTGCCCCCCCCCCCCAGCTCTTATCACCCCTGCAGACTTCCCTGTTTCCCTCCTCATCCCACTGCATCTCTGTAGACATCAATTGTACCCCTAACCCCCCCTAGTACCTCAACCCTTCCCCCCTCTGCCTGCCTTGGAACTTCCCTTCCTTTCACAGCTCGGTGCTGTTCCTTCCAGTGTGGCCCTGCACTGTTTTCCACGTTGGTGTCTGGGTTTGTTTTATAAACGGACATTGCATTCTTCATAGAGCTCTGCCATTCACCATTTTTTTAGTTGAACATGAAGTAGAGGCCTTCCCTGTTGGGGACACATGAATCTGTTTCACTACTTTAACAAGGCGTCCAGTGTTCCCTAAGATGGATATTCCCTAACTTAATAAACATATCCTGCTCTGCACAATTTCATTCCTGCTTACCCTGACCCCAGCTGCTCCAGATTCCTACCCCTCAGAAACTCTCTCTATATAAACGCCTAAGCAACCGAACGACCAGTCAACTGGTCACTATGACGCACACTGATGCTCAACGCACAGGCTCAGGCTCCCTCCTGTCTGCATTGGGCCTGCAGGAATCAGGCTTCCTCCTGTCAGTATTGGGTGGAAACCGGCTATCCGACATCCCCAAGGGGTCCCAGATTGCGAGAGGGCGCAGGCCAGGCCGAGGGACCCCACCAGTACACAAATCTGTGCGCCGGGCCTCTAGTGAAATAATGTTTGTTGTTTTATGCCTTTAAGTTTTATGGAAAGGTTACACAATGCTAGATAACTAATGCACTAGCTGTGTGAAGTTAGGCAAGTTCCATTGCCACGGAACCCCATTTCCTCCCTTGTGCCAAGTGAGAAATACCTGAACTAGCGCAGGCCAGGTGCAAGCACAAAGCCTGGTTTGCAATCAGTACTTCACACAAATGGTCCATGTACATACGGCAGCCTTTCAGCCACCTCCCAGGTGGGTATGGTCATCCTCCTGCCCCTTCCTTGGCGGAACTTGACCTCACAATGTCAGGCCAAGCCACTGCACTCTTGGCCCAAGGTCACCCTTCTACCAGGGGCAGGATCTGGGCACAGAAGGGACAGAAAAGCTGGAAGCTGTCCTCATTCCTCCAGCCAGGATGCCCTTGAATGCTGCTGGGACAGGTGAGTGCACCTCCCCTCCTGCTCACTGTCCAGGGAGGGGCAGCCAGAGCTAACACATGGAGGGGGTACCCTGCCTCTCGCCAGGACTGAGGAGCAGCCTGGCTTGGCCTGGGCTTTCCACACTGGCTGCCACGGAGGCCCCGCCAGAGCTGAGAACTTTCCTACCACCCTCTCTCAGCTGCCACTGCCTGCCCTGCTGCTGCTGCTGCTCAGCAGCCTCCTTCAGGCCACCCCCACCCCTCTCTCCTCACCCCTTCCCTGAGGCTGGCTGCAATATGGTTGGCTCCACCTGCTGCTCCACTGGGCTCTAGGGCCCAACCTGTTCTTCCTCCCTGTTCTCTGAGTTACTCAAGAACTACATGGCCATGTTTTGGTGTGAGAGGCTCTACGTTTTTAAAAAAGTTAAAGACCCCGGTTCAGAGTCTGCAATTTGCTGCTTTGCCTTCACTCCCCTTCTCTGCAGAGCGTTGCCTGGTTCTTTTCAGTAGCTGCATAGAATTCTCCGGCAATAATTTACCGTTCTCTTGTTGACAAATATTTTGGTTCTTTTTATTATTTATTTATTTTGTGTGTGTGTGTGTGTGTGTGTGTGTGTGTGTGTGTGTGTGTCACATTCAGGCCGCGCTGTCACAAAGATCCTTGCACAGCTTTACATTCCCACGGGAGAGCGTCTTAGCATTTCCACAAAGAAGATATACCCGTTCCATTAATGTTTATTTGCATCAGTGTTGAAGAGGCCAAAGAGTTCTAAAACGGCTTGTAAAGAGAAAGTAGCCCCTGCCTCATGTCTCCCTATGCGTCTTCCACTCACTGCTGGTTGCGGTGTCCTTCCTGTGATTTATGTCCGTCTTTCCAAACACTATCTCTGTACTTGGTCTTCATTATCTCCTGCCTTTCTGTTAAAAGGGGCGAGGAGTCAGCTCACTCATTCCTTCTCCGACTCCGGTTTCTACCAGGGTGGAGTATGCTAATTACCAGTTGAATCAGTGCATCTGTATTATGACTGTAAACATCACCCACAGCTGAGATGAGTGAGATGCCTAGAAAACTGTGTTTGCCCTTCTTTTCTGGTCTGGCTGTTTATTTCTGGAGTTTTACTCCTCTCTGCCAGCTTCTTCTTCTTCTTCTTTAAATGTATTTTATTGATTTTTTTTTACAGAGAGGAGGGGAGAGGGATAGAGAGTTAGAAACATCGATGAGAAACATCAATCAGCTGCCTCTTGCACGCCCCCTACTGGGGATGTGCCCGCAACCAAGATATATGCCCTTGACCGGAATCGAACCTGGGACTCTTGAGTCCGCAAGCCAACGCTTTGGTCCGCTGAGCCAAACCGGTTAGGGCTCTGCCAGCTTCTTAATTCAGTTTTTTATGTGGTGAATCCCACTAAAGAACCTATCATTTTCAGTATTTTTCTGGAGCTGTTGAGTCTGTGTGTTCCCCATTCTAATAGTGGGATTTCTCATTATTCATTCAAAATTGCACCTTATCAAAAACAAAAAATAAGATAAAATTGCACCTTCTCTCTGAGCACTCCTGAGTCCTCCATACCTAATTTTCTCTCTCCCACAGCATTTATTATCTTCTAACACCACATAAGACGTGTTTATTATGTTTGCTGTCTCCACCCCCAGCCCCAACCACAAGCCAGTGGTATCAGAGTTCCATAAAGGCAGAGATTTTTGTTGTCTCAGCAATAAACTGACACTGTGCTTGGTGTGGTGGGAACACTCACTACATATTTGTGGAATGGACGGATCCTGGGACTCCCCTTCATCCCCTCCCTGCGTGTTCTCTTTCTTCCTACTTCATGGATCTCGTGCCTTTTTTCTTGGTTTAGTGGAGCACATCCCTCAGTAACTTTCTGTGAAAAGGTGCCTATGAGGTTATATATATATATTTTAAGACTCCATAGCTATGTATATATTTACACTCACATTTAGTGTACACTCCGGTAGATTTCTTCACATGCAAGATGGTAATGAATATTGAGCATCTCATAAGGTTGTGATGAGAATTAAGGTAAATTATAAAATGGTTAACATTAGTGGAGGACTAAAATAAATATAAAATAAGGTTTGTTGGGCCCTAGCTGGTTTGGCTCAGTGGATAGAGCATCAGCCTGTGAACTGAAGGGTCCCAGGTTCGATTCCGGCCAAGGGCACATGCCAGGGGATGTGGCCTAGATCCCTAGTAGGGGTGTGCAGGAGGCAGCCAATCAATGATTCTGTCTCATCACTGATGTTTCTATCTCTCTGTCCCTCTCCCTTCCTCTCTGAAATCAATAAAGATATATTTTTTTAAAAAAAGGTTTCTTTGGCAGGCAGTGGAGTACAGTGGCTGAGGTCAGGGTGTCATGGTTGATGAGGGCAAGTTTTGAGCCCTGTGATCTAGTAACTCTATAACAGAGAGTAGGCAAGTCACTGAAGCCTCAGTTTCTTCATGTAAAAAATGAAAATGGCCTGAGAACCTACGTTTTGTTGTTAATCCTCACCTGAGGATATTTTTTCATTGATTTTTAGAGAGTGGAAGGGAGCGAGAGACACATCGATTGGTTGCCTCCTGAATGCGCTGGGACTGGGGGCCTGGTATCAAACCTGCAACCCAGGCATGTGCCCCCTTGACCAGGAATCAAACCCAAGACCTTTCGGTGCACAAGCCAACACTCTAATAACCACTGAATGACACCGGCGAGGACCAGAGTACCTACTCTTTTTTTTTTTTAAATATATTTTATTGATTTTTTATTGATTTTTTTACAGAGAGGAAGGGAGAGAGATAGTTAGAAACATCAATGAGAGAGAAACATCGATCAGCTGCCTCCTGCACGCCCCCCATGGGGGATGTGCCTTCAACCCAGGTACATGCCCTTGACCGGAATCGGACCTGGGACCCTTCAGTCCGCAGGCCGACGCTCTATCCACTGAGCCAAACCGGTTTCGGCCAGAGTACCTACTCTTAATACACAGTAGGAGTTATTGATGTAGGTTAATGTGCCCAATGTTCCCAAATGTTGGGTGTGGTTTGGTACGGTGGCAAGAGCTGCCATCTACCTTGAGCTTGTCTTTGCATCCACTGAGGATGAGAATGTCTGGAGGAGGGTCGGCAATGGGCAATTGGCAGCATGATGCATCAAGTCCTGAGAGGAACACCTGCAATTTGACCCAGCAGTTCTATCTGCTAACAATTTATGTTAAGGAAATAAATATGGGTGTGCCTGGATTTAAGTGTAGGGCCTTGTTCATGGGGGAGGAGCCAGGGATCCACTTCAGTGTAAGTTAGGAGGGAGCTTTATCAATACATGGATCTATAAGCCATACACTTCCTCCAGTAGAGTCCTCCTGGGCAGTGCATTGTTAAGTGGAAAAGGTGAGTATCAAAGCAGCAGGAGCCCTTCTGGGGACAGAGGTTCCACTTGCCTTTTTATTGTTTTTAAGGTCAGTACATGTGCCGAGGACTGGAAGTCTGGGCAGTCGAACACAGGCTCTATAGCTTAATGGTCCAAGGACAGCCTCTGGCATGTGGGTATCAAGACCCTGTCTGGCACTACAAGACCTAGGTTAGGGCAAGGTACAGAGCTGTGTGCTACGCCTCAGCCCCTCATCTGAAAAGTTGGGCAACAATAGCTAGATGTTTGTTTAGAGTAAATGAGATTAGACATGAAGATTCCTTACTAAGAAGTGTTAGCGGGCGATTATTGCTACCCAACAATTAAGTCTGGCCAGTGTGAATTAAGGGTTCGGTGCTGTTATTGTTACTTCTGTATTGTCTAAAGTGTTATTTAAAAATATAAACGACTATGTCTTTTGGAAATAGGGGGAAAAAAGGTTATTTTAAAACACGCAGACCTTCAGGTATCAAGATGATCCTAGTTTTGTTTAAAACATCATCATCGTGCCCTGGTCAGTGGTTGAGCGTCGACCTATGAACCAGGAGGTCATGGTTCCTGGCCTGGATGTTTCTGTTTCTCGCTACCTTTCCCTTCCTCTCAGAAGTCGATAAAAAAAATAAATTAAAAAAGAACTATTTAAAAAGACATCACCATCACACAACAATGTGAATGTACTTTATGACAGAGTGTACACTAAAATGTGGTAAATTTTATATCTATTTTACCACAATTTAAAAAAACAATAACATCATTATCAACAACAGCTTCCAAAAAATTAACATCAGCAGCAGCAGCAGCAACTACAAAGAAAATTATAAGCAAAGAAGTTCTGAAAGCGTTCCTGGGACCATTAGCGGAGATGAGATGGGATTGCTCTTTGACGTATAAACATGACAAATGTCCCCCGTGAGCAATTCTTAGTTTTGTCACTAGTCAAGTTTCCTCTCTCCGCGTTTACGCAGAGCGGCGGGTGGGAGTAGCCACGCCTCTTGTTGGGTGTGACCTTGGCGGGCCCTGCCCTGCGAGCCACGTTTTCCCAGCCTGGGAGCCCGAGATGACAGTTCGCGCCCCGCCCCGCCCCGCCCCGCCGCCCCTGGATTGGCTCCCATTGGCTCGTGCCTCCATCCCTCAAGACAGGGTCGCGCCAACCCGGAAATGCGGCTCCAGGGGCGCCGCGTTACGACGGCGAGCACAGCCAATGAGTGCGGGCGGCGGCCGCGGTTTGGAGGAAGTCCCGCCCAGCGTCGCGCGGGGGCGGGGCGGGACGAAGGATGGCTGCGGTCGTGGCTGTAGCTCTGCTGCGGAGAGGAGGACGCTGAAGAAGCGCAGAGTCGCGCAGGGCTGCGGAGAGGTGCCCGAGCCGCCGCGGGGTCCATGGCCAGGACCACCAGCCAGCTGGTGAGTGCGCTCGCGGCAGCCAGGGCACCGCGGCCTGTCACCTCCCCGAGCGCGGCGGCGTCCCCGGACTCCGAGGGCCGGCCGGCCGGCTGGACGGAGGACCGTGGGCGCCGTGGGGACGCCGCTCTGTCGCCGACGGGAGCACAGTGCCGAGGTCTTAGCCCGCAGCAGGTGCACGGGCTAAAACCCCGGACCGGGGAGGGTGCAGACTGGCGCGCAGAGGGCGGGGAAGCCGGGGAGGTGTCACCAGCCGGTCGGGGTGGACGTGTTTGGAAAGTTTGTTTTCGGCGCGGCCGGGAGCCCAGCCTCCGGGGTTACTTTTCCTTCTGTCGGCGGAGGAGCCGCGCGCCACTTCACCTGAATGGGGTCCCGGTGCCTCTGCCCGCAGCAGACCCAGAGAGTGCGAGCTGGTGCCCAGGGGAAAGGGAGAAGGGATTTTAGGAGGAAAGAAAAAGAAAAGCATTTGTTAGGTTAAATGTTTTGCTAAAAGCATCGCTAGTGTTTCTATATTTTTCTGTCTGTTGCTAAAAGTATCCCTAATGTTTTTATGTTTATTTCTCTGCTACATTCTGGACTCTCGGGAAGATGGTTGACGGTTTTATACCTTGTGTGCGAATGTGAAGTGAGTGATGGAAGAAGGTCTAAACAGCTTTCAAAGTTTCGTTGAAAGGGCAAATCCCTTAAATGAAGGAAGATCCATGAAATGTACTTGACCCTTATGGTTTGGGGGGCGGGTCGTGGGTCCCTTTGAGAATCTGATGGAAAGCCTGCGTCCTCCTGAGAAAAACGCACAGCTCCGTTGAATTTTGTAATTACTTCCGGAAGCTCTTGAACCTTCTGCAGCGCACCCATGGACTCGGGGTTAAGAACACTGAGCTTTGTAGAGATGGGCGACAACCCGAGGTCTCAGAGCAGGAGAACCTGTTGTTGAGGAAAATGGTGAAGGGCAAAGGGGTGTCTTTGGTTGTGGCCACATGTGGTGCCTGGTGAACACACAGAAACACAACTTAGGAGGTTTGGTGACGCTCAGTCCAGGCCGAGGCTGACGGTCATCCTGGATGTTTGTAAAATAAACTTTCACCCAGGGACGCTGTTGCAGTGCAAGGTGTGTACGTCGATGGCGTCCATTGGAGGAGAAAAAGGGCCTTTTCTCGTAGTCTCGGTAGTTCCACGTGATGGTATTTGACACCTGGCGTTTTCTTGGCATGAGGCAGCTTTTTAGTGCAAAACGCTGGAATCCAATGAGAAGGAATGAATGACAGAATAGAGACTAGACCTCCCATCAGAAAGTCAGGGACAAGGATTTTGTGTCTGGAGCTAGGTTCCTTCACATGTATGTGAGACTGTGCCATGTTTCCCATCAGTAATGGCAGGACACCCCCAAAATAGGATTTTCTTTCTTTTTTACAGGAGGACCAGTAGATTTCCATGTTTCAAATGAGTGTGCTGTCAAGTTTGTAATTTTAAGGTGGCACTGTACTAGTATGAGAATCCCCTGTCCAATGATTAATTTTCCTATTTCTTGAAGTGTGTGCAGCCAACAGGGGGAGCAGTAGGAGTTGTGAAGACTGAAAATGGCCTAGCCCAGTGGTGGGCAAACTGCGGCTCGCGAGCCATATGTGGCTCTTTGGCCCCTTGAGTGTGGCTCTTCCACAAAATACCACACGCGGGCCCGCATGTACAGTGCGATTGAAACTTTGTGGCCCGTGGGCAGAAGTCGGTATTTTGTGGAAGAGCCACTCTCAAGGGGCCAAAGAGCTTCATGTGGCTCGCGAGTCGCAGTTGGCCGACCACTGGCTAGCCCGGCTTGATAGTCAGGTGGGCCCTGTGCTGTAGTACCACTGATGGAGCAATCCCTTTAAGGCAGGCACTTGGCTAGATAGTTCACACAGTGTTGCTTGGCTTCTGTCAACAGTTTCCAGGTAGGTGTCGTTCCCATTTGACAGGAGTGGGAATGGGTGCAGAAAATGTTAGTACCTGTCTGGTAAAGAGAGTCTGTCTGAATGGTAGCAGAGACCAGGTGCTACCCTCCCTTCACGTGAGGGTCTGCTGGGCAGCTCACTGCAGCACTCAGTCTAAGGAAGTCCTCCGTGCCACTGTCCAGGAGGTCTTTCCCCGGGGGTTGTGCCTGAACGTCTTAACTGTGCTGGAGGCTGGAGGGACATTGTTCCATGGAAGGACAGCACACTGATTTCTTGGGGCAGGTAGCTGAACTCTGTGACCCCCGGAGCCTGTTGCAGCCTCACACTGTGAGAAAGCAGCTGTTTGGAAAGAGGCTCTGGTTCATCCTCATTTGAGGGCTGATATTCTGAATGGGCGAGGCTTGGCATCCTCCCTTTAGAAAAAAGAACTGTGCAACGATTTTGTTAAATGAAAAATTGGTGATTAGCCAGAGCGGCTCCCTGCATCTGTAGGGTGGCGGTGTGTTTGCAAAGGTGGCTATATCTGTGTGGGCCGGTGGTGGGGAAAACAGAGAACATGGCAAGAAGTGGGTTCTGACTTCCACTCTCCCTTTTGGTAGGTAGCTCCTCCTATAGTGTGATGTATTTCTTTTCCACGACATCCCTACAGCAGTTACTGAGCCGAGTCCAGCGCTGGCGAGGTGAAGCCCCATGCTAATGAGGTGGACGTGTAGGTTTGTTCTACTCTTTGGACATGCGTTTCATAAGAGGTGTCACAGCACATGCGTGTAGAGATGTGGGGCCTGGAAAGAGGCTTGGGCAGCTAGTTAAAGCAGGTCTGGGCCTCTAGGCTGCCTCTGGCACAGCTTGGGCAGGAGGAAAAGGTATCTCCTGGGTGTGTGTCCCTTGATTCTGTGCCCTTATCTCCCGAGACTCCTGATGGGAGGTTTGGGTGCATGTAGGGCAAGTGCATGATGACCTAGGAAGCACTGCAAAAATGGTGGGGGCAGGAAGGTGCATTCCTCCTGAGATGATGTGTGTGGAGAGCCTTCACTGGCCCTTTACTATGCCCCATCCTAAAGGGGTGTCTTGTGTGGAAATTGACTTTGACTAGAGCAGGGAGCTGATGCTGAGGACGCTTGATACAGAAATGACTCCCTCAGCAGGTGCAAGGGCTAGACCAGTGGTCCTCAGACTTTTTAAACAGGGGGCCAATTCACTGTCCCTCAGACCGTTGGAGGGCCGAGCTATAGTCTAAAAAAAAAAACTATGAACAAATTCCTATGCACACTGCACATATCTTATTTTGAAGTTAAAAAAACAAAATGGGAACAAATACAATATTTGTATTTGCATGTGGCCTGCGGGCCGTAGTTTGAGGACCCCTGGGCTAAACTCACATGTGCCAGCTCTGTATGCCTGCCCTTGTGATGACAGCTGGCTGTAGGGGTGTGGAGCACAGTTGTTTTGAAGGCAGGTTCAAAGGGCAGATCACCAGGGAGGAAGTACTGGTGTGGAAACTGTAAGTTTTAGACAAGTATCATTTAGGACTTGTCAGTAGTGCCTTCTTCTGTAACCAGATAGCATTCTTGTTCAGTGTGACACGAGGCCCTCAGAAAAACATTATTTGAATAATGAGAACTGATCGTGTATCCACTAGCCGAGTCAACACAACAGACAGAGTGTTTTCTCAAGAGTCGTGGGGAATGTGTTCTGATGCTAGTGTCTGAGAGGAGAAAGGCCTGCTGGGTTCCTGATGGTTCTTGGAGTCTGTTTAAGTGCTTGATGCTCTTTGCATTTATATGGTTGCACAAGGTCTGTTTCCATTCACTTAGTCTAGGAAAAATTTCAGATTTAAATTTTTACTCCAAGAAATTTCAGGTTGTTTTGACTGTTAGGAAGATAGTTCATGCCAAAGGATTTAGGTTTGAGGGCAATTAAATCCCTTATCAGAGCAACTGAGCCAGGTTTCAGTTTAAGTAGTTGGATTATAACAAACAAGAATAGTTGGGTCAGCCCTAGCTGGTTTTGCTCAGTGGATAGAGCATTGGTCTGGGGACTGAAGGGTCCTGGGTTCGATTCCGGTCAAGGGCACATGCCTGGGTTGTGGGCTCGATCCCCAGTTGGGGGCATGCAGGAGGCAGCCAATCAGTGATTCTCTCTCATCATTGATGTTTCAATCTCTCCCTTTCCCTTCCTCTCTGAAAGCAATAAAAACATATTAAAAAAAAAAAAAAGAATAGTTGGATCACACACAGCCCCACAGAAGGGAAGTGACAGCATTGCAAACTGTGTGAAAAAGATGGCCAAGTCTGACATTAGCAGCCCATGACCAGGCGCATGGCCCACAGAAGGACAAACAAGTGTGATTTCCACCTGGAGTGTTTCTAAGGGGCCTGAGGAAGGCGGGCACATAGTTCCTGATGGCCCAGTGACCTCCTCTATCCACTGACAAGATCGCACGCCCTCTGTAGCAGCCACTGGACTTTATGTTTTTGTTTTTTAATACATTTCTTTATTGATTTCAGAGAGGAAGGTAGAGGGAGAGAGAGAGAGAGAGGAGAGAGAGAGAGAGAGAAACATCAGTGATGAGAGGGAATCATTGATGGGCTGCCTCCTGCACGCCCCCTACTGGAGATCGAACCCACAATTCGGGCATGTGTCCTGACAAGAAATCGAACCTTGACCTCCTGGTTCATAGGCTGACGTTCAACCACTGAGCCACGCTGGCCAGGCCCCAGCCACTGGGTTTCAAATCAGCTTGCAGCCTGCAGGGAATAGAAATATTGGCAGGTATGGTTTGAAGGAACGTCTGGATGCCAAGAATTTCTTTCTGGAAGTCATTGTCCTTCTGTTTGTGGAGCTGGTGGCAGGCCTGCCCACGTTGGAGAGGGCTGATGAGAGGCTGTGTGTGTGTGCCTCTGCATATTATAGTTAGAATTCATCAGGCCAAAAGCTTAGCTTTTACAATGAATTTCATTGTTTGTGCCGCACCAGCACCAAGGGTGAACCTGAGTGGGGGCGGTGAAGGATTTAGAAAAGACAGAGAAGAAAGCTGGGTCTGGGTGGGACGCTGTTCTCTCTGATGGGGAGGGACAG